ATTTTGTGCCTCCTATAACCATGTCTTTAGGCTTCCCCAAAAGATCACCCACCATCTATGCTGCTTCCACTGTTGCTGGTCTTTTAAGGTATCTTCCAGCTCAAACCAGCCTCTGGTTCTATGGGTACTTTGCCAACCACTACTTGTCCTATTTACAGACAGCTCCTGGGATGGCAGCAGTGTAAAACAACACCCTCCTAACTCCTCCTTCTAGCCTTAAAGTTGATCTTAGGATGAGGGTTAAGTGCTCTGCCCTTGTACTATCTAAAAGCACGAGACAGCTCTGCAGGTGTCTCCTGGTTTATGCCATCTCAGAAAACACTTCTGCAGACTGAATCCTGAGTGTCCAGCACAATAAGTAACCATAATAAGTGGATAATTCAGATAAAAGGAGTTTTCCTTTGGGACCTCTTAAATAAAAGCATGTTTGTTTTCCATCTTTGACTATGTAAGGAACATATATATTTCTGTGATTTTATGTGGATAACACAATTTTCCTGAGGTCAGGTACTTAGTGAAAAAATAACCAAAACTGGTATATCAGAAGGACAATTAGATAACAGATTCAATGGATCTGTGATATTTGTGTCTTATTTCTGTGTACTGAAAATTCTCCCAAACATGGTCTAGTAATTTACTGCAGCTGAGATCACCATGTCCTTTATGCTATGTTGTCCAAGCTTGTCTTCCATGGATACACTGGTCCCTCTACTCACTGGGACAACCTCTCCTGGTTCTGCCTCTTTGCTTACTCCCACTTCCCACAACAACTTCCTTTCTCTAGGGAATCCGCGATGCTGAAGGAAAGGGATGGCTGGATCTAAAGACTACAGCTCCCTTTACACCAGGGCTGAGATCACCTCAGTGCAGCTCTGAAGGTGTTAATTACAGACAGTGACTGGGAGAGCCAGAGTCACCTCTCACCATGAGCCAGTCACACTCTGGCTCTGGGGAAATGTTCCTCATGGTCTCCTTAGAGGCACAGCCCAACTCTGCAATGTTCTTGGAGAAACTCCATGGTGTTCTGAGCTCCAGGGGCCAGATCTAGAGCCCTGAATCACCTCAGGTCAGCATCTCTCCAGAGCTGCTCAGTTGAACCATGAAGGACTCAAAGCCCAGCAGTGGGTAGTGGCCTTTCCCACCACACTTGAAAGGTGACACTGTTAGCAGTGGATGGGAAGAATAATTCAAACAGAAACCAACAGGGTTGTCAAAGAGGCCTGGAAAACAATGAATTTAGTGGGCACCTCACAACAGGCAAAGGCCAGATTTGTCACCTTCCTCTCTGAAAGAAGCTTCCTCTCTAAATTTCATCCCATTGAAAATGTTTGTGTTTCATTCATGGTAACTCTTATATTCTCTTCTTATTTAAAGTGAATAAAGGTTTTACAGAAGCCTGCATAGTTGGAACACTTCTCCCCTGCTCTAAGTGAAGGGACAATGTGAGAAACCACAACAAAAAAATGAGAAATACCACCAACTAATATTTCTGAAAGCTTTCATGGGAACGCCAACTTTTCCACTTGAGTATTTCTTCTCTTCAAGCCTTCCTCTATTTCAGAGTTCAAAGTAGGTATTGCAAAATATGAATGGGTTTTATTACTTTGTTCCACCCATATTGTTAGAGTTTTTTATATCATCATCTCTGTTACACAAAGTAAACACTTCTCACTTCCTGCCACCTGGAAGGATTAGTTGGTGTTTAGGTTTGAACTTGTCAAGGATCAAAAATTAGCGACTTTGTGACTGGTGAGCCTGGCACAGTGATGAAACAAGTTATTTAGCTCCGTAATAGACTAGCTATTTCCATTAATTTCTCCTTTTTTTTTTTCCTATTTGATCAGTTGAGCTCACCTTTGGACCAGAGCTGCCCGTCTTCCCATTCAGTGGTTGAAACACTGTCTTTTACAGGAAAGGTCAAAGGGTGCTGATGAAGAAGCAAATGCTCAAGGAAACTGAACCTGTTATTTCCTCACTTCCTCCATCTAGATTTGACTTCAGTGGCCAGCAGTAATGCAGATAATATCTCACAGACCTCACCATAAACTTTCAACGACACCTGCACTACAAAACACTGCTCTCCTTAATCATCCTCATTGATCTTGAGCTTAACCACAAAAGAAGTAGAAGTTCAATTGGAAGAAACTGTAAAGCCGCCTCTTCTGCAACACTGTTCCTCTCTGCTTTTGGACACTTACACTGGGATGAAGGCTTCAAATCCATGGATGGAACACACATCTGAAGGTCCAGCTCCCATGCATGGCTGGATGTGCTTCAAATATCTCTCAGGTTGTTCATGGCTTTGATCACACAGATTGAAGTCTAGCAATCCTCTCCAACATTTTTTTCCTCATATCTATTGAGAATGACAGATGAACAAATTATTCTTTCCAGTGGTATTCCCGTGATCCAGATCATCTCTGGCTGACATGTCCATTCCTCTCTCTTTCCGTGTGAAGGCAGCACTGCTGCAGGAGGCATTTCAGATGCCTCCATTGGATGATCCAAGGATGATCCAAGGATGATCCAAAGAAAGATGCCATTGGAGGCATCTGAAATAAAATTCGGAGCTTAGGCTTGAGTGGAGAGCTTTGTTTTCAAGGCCAATGTCTATTAAACACACACAGCTGAAGTGCAGGCAGCAGGGAGAGTCGGTGGCAGAAATCTGAGTATCCTTTACCTTGACTTTAGCAAGGCTTTGGACATTGTCAGGACCCAGCATATTCTTCTCTGTGGGTTAGAATGTTATGATCTAAATGAACAACTTGATGAACAACAGGTTGGATGTTCATGCTCAGAGAGTGGTGGTGGTGGTTCATAGGCCATACTCTTTGTGGAGGTCTGTAACAAGTTCAGACAAAAGAGAAGCTTTCCAATGCCTGCAAGCTACCACTAGGAAGATGAACCAGGCTCTTCACCGCAGCCAGCGGTGGCAGCATGAGAGAGAAAGATAATGGGTAGACAGTAGAAAATAAATTAAAAAGTCAATGTGTAAGAAAAAACTAAAAGTGTTTTCATGATGAGAAGACTGAAGCATTGGAATGAGATGCCCAGACAGGATGTCCAGTCTTCCTCTTCTGTGTCAGTGCCTTAAGTGCATTCCCCTTCCTGGAGGTTTGAATGGCTGGACTCACGGCAAAAGGAGAGTTAGCAAAACTGGGGGCTGAGTCCTTTCCAGCTTGAAACCCTGGAGCCAGTGCAGCCAGGGAGGACCTCAGAGAGGCCTCAGGCAGGGCTGCTGCCCTTCTCCTGGGGGCTGCTTTGAAGAGGACACTCTGACTCTGGTCCCCACCTGAGCTCCAGCTCCAGTAGTGTCTCAGCCAGGCCTGCACCTGGCCATGGCCTCTGCTGATGTGGACCTGGGCCCATGGACTGACTTTCCAGCTGTACCTCAGACTTTTCTCAGCAAATGGACTTCTCAAATCATCTAGAACACAAGTGCTCAGGGATGTGAGGTTCTGAACAAGCCCAGATCTCTCCAGCTTCTGGAGGAGATGGTGACAAAAACCAGAGCATGTGCAATGAACTCCCTCACCAAGCCACAATCTGGGGGTTGCAAACAAAAAAGCAGAAAATGACACAACCTAAGAGCAGGCTGAGGTTTCCTGTTTCAACTCCACACTACATATATAGAGATTGCCATTCTGTACCTATCTCCTGCCTGGCCTTAATAACTGCTTTGGCTCCTCAGGACAGTGGTAGAAGATGCTGCTTCTCCTGCTCCCAAGTGCTTTTCTCCTTCTACCATGGGCTGGGGCTGGTGAGTACACCAGGACAAGGACATACAAGGGCTCAAATGGACACTAGCAGGAAATCTCAGGAAATGTTCCTGCCTGGTCTTCTCTCCTATCACTGCACTCCTACTCTCCTCTTTTTCAGCTCAGACTGTGCCTGAAACCAGTGATGCATTACAGGGACTAGAGTTGTGCCCTTTGATAACATTTCAGTCATCCAGAGCCAGGTGTGGTCAGTCCTCCCCAGGCAGTGCTGCTTGTCTTTCTCTCCATTGTGCGCCAGCAATGCTTTGGACAGCCCAAGGAAGGAGAGTTGTGGATATCATTTGCATATGATGTTAGAAGAGGTCCCTCTCTCCTCATGCAGTTCCAAACTTGGTAGGAAATATTGGCATATGTGATATTAACACTTCTCATCTCTCTTCCAGGAAGGATCATTGGAGGAAGGGAAGTTAAGCCCCACTCCAGGCCCTACATGGCTTACTTACAAATTGAAAGTGGCTCAGATACTTACAGATGTGGAGGGTTCCTGATTCAGCCAGATGCAGTGCTCTCAGCAGCTCACTGTGTGCATGGAAAAGGGTAAGACCCTCTGTTTCTTCTGTGTGGGATATTTTCAAGTCTCACACAGTCCTGAAGGGCCCCAGTCCTGGTCTGGGCTGAAAGAGTTCTCTGTGTCTCTTCAGGCAGAGCAGGGATCTCTGTGAGCTGAGCTCCCCCTGTGAGTTGCAGGAATTGTCTGCCAGGTTGCTGTGTGCTCCTGGGGACAGGAATGCTCAGCAGTGATCTCCTGGTTCATGGCTCCTACCATGGCTCAGAGGTACTGCTGCAAAAGAGGGGCCAGTGTGTCCCATTCCCTGCTTCCCCTTTGTCTTCAGAATGGGACAAGTCAGACCTATGTGAGTGTGTGGGGAGGGACCCTCAGTTGAACAGTGGAAGGAACCCAGGTTACAAAAGGGAATTTGCTGAGAACAAATCTCTGGGAAGGTACATCCCAGTGCCACCTCCCTCCAACCACCTGCCACGGGGCTGTGCTGCTCTGGCCAGTGCAGCTGCAACATTTTGGTGTTTCCTGGCAGAAAGGTGAATATCACTGTGACTCTGGGAGCCCACAACATAAAAAAGAAAGAACTGAGCCAGCAGAAGTTCCATGTTGGATGTTGGGTCATCCATCCCAGATACTTAAATTATAGATCTGGAAATGACATCATGCTGCTGAAGGTATGTTCTCACACATCTTTTCTGCCCAAGGGATCTCCTCCCTGCTCACCTCACCAAACCCATGAACTTGTTCCCATTCCTTTGCTGGCTCTAACCCCATGTTCTCTCTGCTTAATAGCTGAAGAAAAAGGCCAAGATGACTAAGTATGTGAAACCCATCTCCTTGCCCAGTCATAATAAAACTGTCACACCAGGAACTAAATGTAGTGTGTCTGGCTGGGGCCAGACATCAGTGACAGGGCATAGGACTGATGTGATGCTAGAGGTGGACCTGGAGCTGCAGCGTGAGGAAGTGTGTGAGGAGTCTTTCAAAGGCTACTGGTGCCAGTCTATGATCTGTGCCGGTGATATGCGTGGCAGAAAATCAACTTACAATGTAAGTGTTTGGATGGTGCTGGGACCACAGTCAGTCAGGTTCTCAGGTGAGGGTCAAAAGGGCAGTACAATGAACCAGATTCTTTGGAAGGATGTGCTGAGGCTCTTCACAGCAGCTCTGAAGCTGACGTGCTCCCTGAGCTGGGGTGCACTTGCCCAACTCTCAGCATCAATTTGCCTCTTTACTCACTTGGAGATGTTCTACCTATCCCAGCCAGTGCCCCAGCAGGCTGCAGAGCTTGTATAAATCCTTCATCCTATCCTCACTGGAAGTGTTCAGATAGTCCCCCATGTCTAAACTAGGATTAGATCCTTCCTTTCAGAAAGGTTTTGAATCTCGAATAGCCTCCAGTCCTGAGTTGCTTCCCAGAAGGGCTTAGAGGAGTAGTGAGGCAGCTACAAACCCTACAGAGCTGGGTCTGGAGGGAGGGAGGGGGTCAGAAGAGGAGATTCTTTACATGGGGAGAGGGAAGTGGAATAGTTTGTTCCTTAGGGCAGGGAGAGCTGTGCTGTGACAGGGCTGACCCCTTTCACTTCTTTCACTCCACAGGGTGATTCTGGAGGCCCATTAGTCTGCAATTGGAAGGCTCATGGCATTGTTTCTTATGGATATCAAAATAAACCCTTCCCTAAGGTATTTACCAGAGTCTCCTATTTTGAGCCCTGGATCAATGAACAGCTGAGGAAGTTTGCAATCCAAGAGGCTTCCAAATGCACCTAAAACAGAGTCAGAGATGCCTTGCCAGGCACATTTTCTGCACTAAGGAAAGTCTCCCTGGCAAGGTAAGAAAGCAGGTCCCAAGCACACCCAGTTTCCCATTGTTCCCTTCCTCCCACTACTGCCCAACAGTGCCACCTCCTGCTCTGCTTTCTGTCCATCAATAAAAGCTCCTTCAAACTTGCTTGTGTGTGCTGCCTTCTTGAGGATGGGATGCAAAGCCTGAGCATGAGAAGGAGGAGATGACACTCCTTGGGAGAACCTGAGTGGGACTGTAGGTGGGACACACAATACAGATCTTTGTCCCTGAATTGCTGCAAATGCTCTCCCTTGTCTCCCTCAATCTCTTGCACTCAAACCAGCAGGTAGAGACAGCAGCCTTACCAAACCATTTATTCAGCCTTTCAGAAACAGAAGCTTCTCTGCCTTCAAGGGGGGATCATGTGGGTTTCTATTACCAACTTGAAACCATCTCAGGATCCTCAGACAGACTCAACACCAGCCAACCTTACATCCCATCTTCCCTTTCAACCCTCTTGAACCTCAGATGAAGCATTTTCTCTGCACCTGTAAAATGCCTGAGGGCTGAAATGTGGAGATTTTCTCCTATGAGATCAGCTAATCAGACCTGGCTGGGCCAAGAAGTGCCCTCGTGGTGTGGTGACAGGATAGAGAATGTCAAATATGGCTCAGGCAAAAGCAGTACTGCAGAGAGACAAGCCTGATCAGTCATGCCAGGGAGAGATGCATTTCTTTTATGCAATTTTTCCTTTATGATCATTTATCCATGATGCGGACAAAGGGATAGAATGTACCCTCAGCATGATTCCCAATGATATAAAACTGGGGGCACAGAAAACTAAAGAGGTGCAACAAGGGCAAGTGTGGGGCCCTCCACCTGGGGAGGGATAACCCCAACTACCAGAACAGCAGCTCTGTGAAGAAGGACCTGCAAGTCTTGGTAGATGACAAGTTGACCATGAGCAAGACACATGCCCTGGAGGCCAGGAGGGCCAATGGGATCCTGGGGTGCATCAGGAACAGTGTGGCTGCAGGTCAGGGAGGTGATCCTTCCCCTCTACTCGCCCCTGGTGAGGCCACATCTGTATTGCTGCATCCAGTCCTGGGCTCCTCGGTACAAGAAAGACAAGGAACTACTGGAGAGGGTCCAGTGGAGGCCACAAAGATAATTAAGGGACTGAAGTATCTCTCTGAGGAGGAGAGACTGTGGGAGCCAAGCCTGTTCAGTCTAGAGAAGAGAAGACTGAGAGGGGATCTCATAAATACATATAAATATCTCCAAGGCAGTTGTCAAGAGGTTGGTACCAGACTCTTTTCAGTGGTACCCAGTGACAGGATGAGGAGCAATGAGCACTCCCAACATGAGGAAGAACTTCTTTCCACTGAGAGTGGCAGAGCACTGGATCACCTTGCCAGGAAGGAATCACCTTGCCCTCTCTGGAGACATTCAAAATTCCCCTGGTTGCATTCCTGTGTCACCTGCTCAAGGTCACTCTGCCTTGGGAGAGGGATCAATCTAGATGATCTCCAGAGGTCCCTTCCAACCCTAACTGTTCTGGGATTGTGTGATTCCTGTTGGCTGGCTGGCAGGAAGGAAAAAGACACATTGGATTTGAGCTGCTCTTTTACACAAACTCTGCTTCTCACCCAAATCTTCACTGTCAAAGAAGCATCTGCCCCAGGAAGGCACCAGTTCTGAGGAACAATGGGCCTCAGATCCCTCCCTTTCTCCTCACAGCTGTGGTTAAGCACCAAGTCAGCCAAGACCCTGATAGTACCCATAAGTTCTGCATTACCCACCTCAGTTACAGAAGCACAGAGTTCTGCATCTGTGCGAGGACAAAAGCAGCCCCAGAGGCTCCAGTGAAGCTGTTAAGAGATATCTCCGCTTTTTGAAATCCTCCTGTTTCACTTTAAATACTTGTCTCCCTTCTACCATAATTTCAAATCAAGTAACATCAAGATTGCCATGGGATGAATACAGGAGGTTGCAGGATGTCCAACCATTTCATAATAATTCACAAGCCTTCTTTTGAGTCATCCCAAACACACACCTCTATTTCTGGCCAAACAACACTCAGTTTGCAGCCCTGAAACAGGAGAAAATAACATTTCCAGAAGGAACAAAGGGATGCCATCCAAGCTTTCCATCCAGTCCTGAGCCACACTGGCTTTGCTCTGCCCCCCCATAACATCCCTTTTCACCCAAATTCCACTTCAGAATACCCCTCCCTAGGTCCAGCACTTTCTTCTCTCTCATGCAGTCAATGTGTGCCACGTGAGCAGGAAAGGAGCAGTCAGCAGCACCAGTGACCGTGGGGCAGATGAACACGGGGCCCACAGGTTCTGGAGCTGAGAGTCACCACAACCAACAAATGTCAGTGAGAATGTTGGGGAGGGGGATTAGCAAGGGAGTGATCACAGAGCTGCCTGCCTGGTAAAGATACAAGAAATGAGGAAAATCCAAAGTGCTCTTCCATGGGATACACTGGGAGATGGGTGAAAATGTGTCAGCACCCCATCCCCATCAGCACTTTGTAAAGGAGCCATAATGGCCCCAGAGATTCCCCTGGCACAGGGTCTGCAGTGGGTACAGGGATCTCCTTCCCCACCCCACCCCCTGTCATTCTAGGGGGGCCACAGGAACATCCATTGCCACAGGACCAGGCCCAGACACCTCCCAGGACAGGGGCTTGTGGGAACTGTGGGAGGGAGAGCAGGATTGTGTCCCCAGACACAGATGCTGCTTTTCTTGCTGCTTCTCAGTTGCCAGAGCTGGCTGCCTTTTGTCAGAAGGCTGCAGAGGATCATCTGGGCATGAGGTAAGGGGTGCAAGCACATGCCCAGAGCAGAGCTCTCCTGTATTGATAGTCTGCAGTGTCAGAAAGTGCCTGTGGGATGGTCTGCTTTGAACTACTCCAGTGCACTAGGAACACAGGGTCAGTCTGCATTCCGAGCTCTGAGCTCAGGTGCAGGGACCTTGACAGGTCTGGGAGGTGTTGAGAGGTGCCAGCCCTGTTCCTGGAAGCACTGAGCTCTGCCAGGTGTCTTCCATACCCTGGGGGACCTCACACGCTGCTACTCTTGTTTCCGCAGCCTCAGCTGCCCAAATACCAGTGTAATCTTTACCTTCCCTCTCAGTGTGGTCCTGCAGATTCGGGCAGTGCTCAGATAGAAAGCCCAGGCAGAAGCACGAGGAGCAAATAAAGTGCAAAAGAGTCTCCAATCTACGGGCTCACATTTGAAAGAGACATGAGGCTTGAGGAAGCTTCTTTTCATGGGAGCCTGGTGCATGTGACATTGGCCTTTAACCCACCTCTCTGGAAAAGGTCGGGAAACCCTGGAGTTTTGGACTCATGCAGGCATGGAGGGGCCTTAGCAGTCAATTGTTACAACCTCATGCTCAATTCAGGGTCAACCCTGAGGGCAGCAAAGGAGCTCAGAAACCCTTGTGGGTCTCACTCCACGCTCTGGCGGGTCATGACTTCAGTGCTGAGCTAAGGTTCCAGCACTTGGCTCCTCTTCTTGGGTCATACTCTTGAGCTCATTCTCAGCTGCTTTCAGGAAGGAGGAGAAATCTCCAGAAGAAATTGCCTGGATAGATGGGGCATAAGTTTGCATCTTTTTTCAGGAGGGCTTGTGAACACTGTTTGGGCCTCTGATGAAAGGTGAGAATATTAGTCCTTTGGGGCTGGCTCCTTTTCTCTTTTCTATGATGTGGTTTTCTCTTTTGAATGTTCTTCACTGGGTCACTAACACAAAAATGAGCTCTAGTTCGTGTTCTGTATTTGTCTGACACTTTCAGTGTCTTAGGTAAACTGAACTGTTACCCTTTTTTCTGATTTCTCTCTTATCAGCCATGTTCCTGGAGGACAATCACCACAAATGCTCAGACATATCACCCTTCAACTAATGTCAGCCTTGTAACCAATAGCTTTGTCAGTGCAGATTCATTTTATATCCAAAGAACCCTGGTGGGAATTAGATCTCAGCGTCCCTGTTCTGGGATTCATGTGCAGAAGGCCACATCCATACTACAGGCAGGAAAGATCCACTGTGCAGTGTGATTGCTTTAAAACTGCTCTGACACTGAGTAAGGAGAAAAAAGTAAAGAGAGGAAAAAAAGAAAAAAAATGAAGAATCCTGTAATAGTTTGAAGAACTTCACCCATATTTAAATTTCTGTGATTTATCTGTTGCTGTGATGACTGTCATATCTATCGTTCTGTCCAAGTACTGATGTGACTTTCCTTGTATACTGAAATATTTTCTCCTTTCTTTTCCCTGTTGTGGATTTTTGGTTTGGTTTGGGGTTTGTTTGTTTGTGGGTTTTTTGTTTTTGTTTGGAAGCACATCTGTCTCTCTGCATCTGATTTTTACCTTGGATTCTGGTCAAGGTGTAGTAATGCCTGCATTTTTATTCCTACCAATGTCAACCTAGAGCCTTTAAAATCTCATTTGAGCCAGGACAGCAAGGCAGTCTGAGCCAACTACATTGCAGTGACAGAATGCCACCATTTCTCTGACAGAAATGTTAGAGGTGGGGACACAATGTAAGAAACCACAAGAAAAAAAAGGGAGAAACTCCACCAACTAGCCCTTCTGAAAACTTTTACATAAATTCCTCCTTTTCCACATGAGTATTGTTATTATTACAGCCTTCCTCTACTTCAGAGTTCACAGCAGGTATTGCAAAAAATAAATGGGTTTTATTACTTTGTTCTACCCATATTGTTAGAGGTTTTTATCTCACCATCTCTGCTACACAAAGTAAACACTTCTTACTTGGTGCTATCTGGAAGGATTCATTTGTGTTTAAGTTTGAACTTGTCAAGGAACAAAAATTAGAGACTTCTTGATTGGTGAGCCTGGCACAGTAATGGACAAGTTATTTAGCTATATTACAAACTGGTTATTTCCATTAATTTTTCCTTTTTCTTTTTATACCCCATTAGTTGAGTTCAGCCTTGAACCAGAGCTGTCCATCTTCCTATTCAGGCCTCATTCATCTCTATGGATGTATTTAATTAAATAGCAGCTAAAATGCCTGGAACCTTACACTGGATTTCAACTGTCAGGACAGAAAGAGCATTTGGAAAGGAAAACACTCTCCAGAAGCCAAGTCGGATTGCCCATTCTTAAGAGACACAAGGTACTCATGTGGGATTTCATCTCCTTTTCATTTGCTGATTGAAACACTATCTTTTACTGCACAGATTAAAGGGTGCTGATGAACAAGCAAACACTAAAGGAAATTGAACCTGTTACTTCCTCAGTAACTTGTCATCTAAATTTTACTTCAGTGGCCAGAAGTAATGCAGATAATATCTTTTTCTCAAGGCAGACCTTACCATAAACTTTTGACTTCACCCATACTACAAAACCCCAGCCAAACCACAAGTGAACAAGACGTTTAGTTGGAGGAAACTGAAAAGCTGCCTCTTCTGCAACCCTGTTCCTCTCTGCTCTTGGACACTTAGACTTACTTCAAACCATGGCTGAAACACATATCTGAAGGTTCAGCTCCCACTCACAGCTGGGCCAGCTTCAAATGACTCTCAGGTTGTTCATGGCT